ACAAACATATCTGAAGACTGACCATGACCAGTGAGTTTGCATTTTCAGCGCCTAGCCTCCCCTATCTGTATCACCATCTTAGCTTCTCCTAACACCCATTTCTAGCCTTAATTTCCACTGTGCCTTCCTTCTACCATAGTCTTCTCTCCCTGCTCTGCCTCCTGAAACCCTACCCATCCTTCACAAGTCAGGTCAAATGTCAAATGCTTCCTTTTACTTAGTCTTTTCTGACCACCACCCCCACTCCAAGCCCCACAATTTCCACTGTGCCTTCCTTCTACCATAGTCTTCTCTCCCTGCTCTGCCTCCTGAAACCCTACCCATCCTTCACAAGTCAGGTCAAATGTCAAATGCTTCCTTTTACTTAGTCTTTTCTCAAGCAGAAGAATGTCCCTCCTTCTCCATCCCCAGGTTCCTCTGACCTCCCCACCCCTCACCCTGCCCCTGTTGGGTGCTCATCCCTTCTGCTGAGGATCCTAATTGCCCAGCAACATTCCTGTCTCCCTGGCTTCTTGACAGTGATCCAAATTCAGCCTCAGATTAAAAGGGATGATCTTTGCGACTGAAGTTTCAAAAAATAATCCGTTTTTAAAAGAGGTCAGAAAACATGGTGAAAGATGAGGATTGGGGTGAGGGATTGGAAAGAAAAGGACAGTTGTTCTGGAGAAAAGAGAGGGTCTCTGTAGAGTACAGTGAGGAAGGAGGAAAAACTGGACATAATTAGACCAAGTGAAATGATTCAGAGGAAACCTGAGAAGAAATGTCTAGGGAGGCAAGAGGTTGATCTGCTTGGGAAGGAAGATAAAAAGCATGTGACGGGAATGACCCGAAAAAAAAAAAACAAACTCAAAACAGGAGCACCGTTCAAATGAGAAAAGAATGCGGACAGCAGCGAGACGTTGCAAAACCTCCGGAAAACAGAGAAGGTGGCAAAGGATGAGGTCATCTCAAACCAGATCAAATGGGAGGCTTTCTGTTAGTTAAAAGAGATTTTGCTCAAAAGGTGGAGCTCATGTTGGCTTGCCACCGTTGGGAACTCAGGGCCTCCAAGGCATTCTCGAAATTGCCATTCGATAAACAGACACAGGGGAGGCCCTGTGGGGAAAGAGCCATCATGGGTCAAAGGTCAAAACAAGCAAAGGGTCAGCTTCTGAGGTGTCCTAGGCAAGCACTGTCCCTCTTCTCACTTCTAAACTCTGTCAAGCACCGGGAGCCTTGTACACATTTCCTGCGCCTCCTTCCCCAGGACTATCTGTTTCTTTATGTGACAAAATAAGCCAGACGATCACAATGCCTCTTAACCTTTGTCAGGGAGAAATCTGGTTAAGGCTCTGGGACCTCTTCCTAGGAAAATGCACACAGACTCAGACACATCAAAGTTTCCTCTTGATTTCAGCAGTTCACACCCCCCTGAGGCCCAGCTCTTTGAACAACAGTTCCTAAATTCGCTCATTTAATCAAAAAAAAAATTCTATATTGAATATCAACTACATGCCAGGTACTACCCTAGCACCAGGGGTGCAGGACAAGGACCCCTGCCTCATGGAGTGTGCCTTCCAGTTTACATTCTAGCCCTCAAAGGATCAAGAAGTCTGAAGATGTGGTTGGGAATTTGGTGCTTCTGACATGGGACCAGGTTTAGGCCCTATTTTCCCAAGTCAAAAACTCCCTCTGTAAAGAGAGTGGGGAGGAGAATATGTAAAAGCATGTGTTCTAACTGAGTGGGCATACATCTCATATATCGCTGAGGGAGAGTGGGTGGTGCCAGTGCTTTGGAAAACCATTTGGCAAATCTCTTCTAGCTGGACACGTGTGTACTCTATGACCCAGAGATTCTACTCCTAGGTATATATACCCAAGAGTTATGTGTACATGTGCATGTGCACCAAAAGACACATCCAATGGCCCCCCAATTATCCCTGGTGTTCACAGCTCTGTGTAAGCTCCTCCCCTTGAGTGTGGGCTGGACATGTACCTTACTTCTAACCAACAGATTGCTGCAAAGGTGATGGGATGTCATTTCTGTGATCATATTACATAAAATTGTAACTTCCATCTTGCTAGGTGAGTCTAAAAGTCAGAGGGGCCTCTGGCTAACAGCCAGGGAGTAGTCAAGGCCCTCAGTCTGCAACCCTCAAGGAAGTGAATCTTTCCAACAACCGCATAAACTCAAAAGGGGACCCTTCCCCAGTTAAGCCTCAGATGAAACCTCAGCCCAGGCCAACACCTTCACCGCAGCCTGTGTGACCAGGTGACCAGTACCAGGATTCCTGACCCACGGAAACCATGGGATGACGAGTATATGTTGTTTTGAGCCCCTACCTTTACCACAATGTGTTATGCAGGAACAGATAATTAATACAATGGAATGCAACACAGGAACGAGAATGAATGAAACCTCAAGCGACTTGGTTGAATTTCACGCACATAACGTCAAGCGAAAGAAACCAGGTGAAAAATACGATCTGTATAGGTACCATTTACATGAAGTTCAAAAACATATAGCACTAATCGAAGATATTGGAAGTCAGAGTAGTGGGTGGAAAAAGACTAGAACGGAGTGCAAAGACTTTGGGCATGAGGGGCTGGTGATGCTCGGCTTCTCGATCTGGGTTCTGATGAGGTGGGCGCATACGCCATGAAAATTCTTCCAGTATATGCTTATGATTTTTGCAGTTTTTGATAGTGTTTTTTCTTTGGTAAAAAGTTTACAAAAAATACAGCACTCTGGAGTTAAACAATCGGAGTTCAAATCTTGAACCCACCGTTTACCAGATTTGTACCTGGGCAAGTTACTTGACTCTACTGTGCCTCAGTTCCCCCTTCCATAAAAGGAGTTGGGCTAAGAATTAAATAAAACCGTGCATGTCGTGGCAGCTGGTACCTAACAAGCCTTGATAAACTTTAGCTGGTTCTATTAACCATGTTCGTAAAAGTTCATTGTTACTCGCAGAAAAAATAGTAGAGGTTTGCCCGCCCAAATGCTCCGAAGTAGAATTTATAGCTTTGTCCAACAGCCCCCACCCCACAGAGACCAGCTGGGTTCTCAGGAATCCTCTCTGGTGGACACCAGAAGAGGGAGCTCAACCTGTCTCTGACATCAACACCCAAAAAGGTCCCAGAGCAACCGACGAAATGATATGGGACTGTTCAGAGGTCAAGTTTGCCCCGGGTTGGGACTGAGTCTTGATGCAAATCAAAGTTTTCACCGGGGTGTTTGTGACCTGGGTTGAGACTGGGCTGTCCTCTCCTCTCATCAGAAAACTACGACAGACAATAATAATTGCAAACACTCAGAGTGATTCTATTGTACCAGGCAAAATTTAGGACTTTACACAAATTTACCCATTTAATCCTTATAATCATTATCTCTACTTAGCAAGTAAGAACAGTTAGGTCCAGACAGAATAAAACTAAACAACGGGCCCATCAAACTGCAAAATGCGGGAATGATTCATCTCTTTTTTAAAAATAAAATTTTTATTTTTTGATTACAGTTGACGTACAATATTATACTAATTTCTGGTGTACTAAATCGTGATTAGATATTTTTATGACTTACGAAGTGATCACCCTGATAAGTCTAGTATCCATCTGATACCACACATAGTTATTACCATATTATTGACTAGATTCCCTATGCTGTACTTTACATCCACTTGACTATTTTGCAACTACCAATTTGTACTTGATCCTTTCATCTTTTTCACACAGCCCCCCAAGCCCCCTCCCATCTGGCAACCATCGGCTTATTCTCTTCATCTATGAGTCTGTTTCTGTTTAGTTTGTTCATTCATTCTTTAGATTCCACATATAAGTGAGATCATATGGTATTTTTCCTTCTCTGACTTATTTCACTTAGCATAATACCCTCTAGGTCCAACCATGTTGTCGCAAAGGTTAAGATTTCATTCTTTTTTTTTTATGGCCATGTAATATTCTACTGTGGGTATGTACCTCATCTTCTTTATCCAATCGTCTATTGATGGGCACTTAGGTTGCTTCCGTATTTTGGCTATTGTAAATAATGCTGCAGTAAACATAGGAGTGCATATATCTTTTTGAATTAGTGTTTTGGATTTCTTCAGAGAAATACCCAAAAGTGGAATTGCTGGGTCATAAGGTAGTTCTATTTTTAACTTTTTGAGGCACTTCCATTCTATGTTCTATAGTGGCTGCACCAATTTGCAATCAGGTAGGAGCTTCTTAAGGACAATGACTCATCCAGGTGAACTCTGGGGCCACTGTCTGACACTCATTGAGACTTGGGAGATGTTCGCAGAGATAACAAAAGAACAAACGGACGAATAAAAGTCGGTTTTGACAAGGAAAGACAAGAACAGTAGAGCTGTGAGTTTATTGATATCTTTTCCCCAGCACTTGGAAGAAACTCTAATTCTTTCAAAATTGTTCCTTCCACCCCGTCCCTCTCCCATCCTCATCCCCCAAACAAAAGTGGTGGTCCCTCCAGCCTACTCTATTTTCTCGTCTGCAACAGAGAGGACTAGGGATTTGGGTAAGGCAGAGGGTATCAACGTCCAAGCTTCTCCTGGTTCAGCCCCATCACCATCGCGCCCCTGCCCACTCACTTCCCCTCAAGGAACCCTCCCTAGAGCAAAATGTAGTAAAGAGGATTTTTGAGTCCTCTTCATTCTTGCTGTAAAACCTTGGGCCACTCCTGTGACCTCTGAGCTCCCCGCAATCCCGTTTCCTCACCTGTGAAGTGGTCCTGAGGCCCCCTAGGTGGCAGGTGGAGAACGCCTTGAGGTGCTGCGGAAAGCCGTACTCCCTGACACCGCCCCCCGCTCCGGCCTC